TGAGAATCATGAATGTCCTAATCTAGATTTTTGAGATCTCTTGACCATATGACGACAAGGATTCAAGGCGAAAGTGATAAATTTCTTCGAAAATAATTTTGATTATGGCACTATTTTCAAACTTTGTTAGTTCTGGTCTTCGAAGAAGACCATTGACTAGGACAACTAGCTCTTAAATATTTCCAATTCCGACTTTTGAATCTTTTTCTAATAAGATGCTTTTTTCGACATGTAAATTATATAAATTGATCTGAAATAGTTAAAATTGGAGGAAAAGTTAGCTTAAAAATAGTATTCAATGAACTGCTAATGTCTTAATTCTTCACCGGCAAGATAGAATGAAACAGATCACCAGGGGTGGTGATGGTGAGTGTGGGGGAGGGAGGGGGGTGTTGGGGGTTGGGGAGAGAAGCAAAATAACGGATGATTGCATTCGAGTAAGTATGCAGGTCTTCGTTGTGAGGTTTTGCGTTGGTATGCTTCCAAAGTTTTCAATAAGGTCATGAATTAGTACAACCCTACTTTCGTGGACAAATGCACTTTAATAAAATGAATCATCATATTGATTTTATTTGGCGAAATAAGAGCTACAAAAATGTCTTCTACTGAATTATATTTCTACATGTTGCCCATATCGTAATGATACATATCATTCACTACTGATAAGAGGTCATGAATCTGTATTGGGGGGTATATCCAACTAAGGTGAACTTAGGGTGCCCCAATAATAGGGGAAAGGGGTTTAATTCCATCTGGAAACAGGTAGCATGGGGTGAAAGCGACGGCATTGAGGAATGTCAGCCTTCGCTTAAAGTGGCCGTAGTCCGAATGAGCTGAGTTTGGTCAAGATAAGTGAAAATAAAAGTCCGTGTCAAATGCTGTATATTCATAAATAAGAACCATCTTAATTTATAACATTTTAATTAAATAATTCGTGAAATTCGCAACTAATTGTATTGTTAGCGTTCTGAATCTTTGATTTATTTGTCCTCATTTATTGTCCAAAAATGGAAGTTGTATTTCAGCTTTAAGCTAATTTTGCTGTAGGCATTTTTGATAATTTTACAATTTGGACTAAATAATGCATAATGGAAATAATAAAAGAATTAAAATGCAATTAGAACAAGGATAAATAAACATCTATTAATCAGGTAAATTGCTCTTTTTTACTATTCATTAACTGTTTCTTAGTTAGATTGTAAAGACTTTCAGTTTCCCCACTTTTGGGATTATTTCAATAAAATTGTTCGAATGGTTATACCAAATATTTTCTTAGTAAATGATTAAATTCATCGTCTTAATCTATAGGGGATACAATAAGCTAAGCCTTGATGAGACCTCAGTAGCCCTTTCTGGGTAATTTCCTGGGACAAAAGTGATCCCGAAATTACCTAGGCTACCTCAACAGTACAGAGGAGACAGGGCACGGGGATTGGACAGCGTTTATTCTGATTATGGGGCATGGACGCAAACCTTAGTACTTTAGATACAATGCAGTGGTTGTAAATTTTGTCTGGATGATTGGCCTCTAAACTCACAACCACTCTTGATTGCTACCCTATCGGTAGCATGTCTGTACTACCCAGACTGTTCGAGCGTGTGTGGTCGCTCCACAAGTCTTTTATGCGCTGAATAATTTATCATCGAGTTTCAATGCACGTGCGGTGATTAATCTATTGCTATATTAGTTCTGCCTTTTATTTAATCTGAACTTATATTATCAGTCCTTATATTATTAATTAAATTTTTTCCTCCATTCAAATCGGCTCAATTGTTCCATCGATGCTTTGATACGATGAAGTTGACTTCACTCTAATTAGTTACCCTCTTGCTGACTTGAGTGGGTAAAAACCAGATTTTCGTTCGTTTTGAAGTTTCAAAATCAATACACTCGTGCCTGCAAAATCGATCTTTACGTTACTGCTTTATTTTTTAGATAAGTAAGTTGCCAGCCATTTGTCACTGATTCAAGTATACGTACATTTTCTCAAAATGGAAAATCTTTATTTTCCAGATTTATTCATGTGTGTTTGAGAATTCATTATCACGGGCCGTCCACGTTGCAACAACGTAGTATTGCAATGGTTGTAAGAATTATGACTTATCTATCTACTAAAACCAGCTTACCAAACACTATCCCATTGAATAACAATGAAATACAATTGTATGCGGGCGCCAATTAATTAGAGATCTTTCAATTTGTTTTAAAGCCTCAAAGAAAGCCGTGTTTGCCTATAATAGATAATCTTTTAACCCTTGATTAAAGGTAATTATGAATAAAGTTTTTACCCTAAACCTTCCCTAGATAACAAACCACATTTGCGTAATTGAATTTCTCCTCCAGTTCCTAACTTGAACGCCACACCCTACGAAAATTTTAGCTTAATTGAAAAATAGTGACGATAGTGCAACGCCACTCTGTAATGAGTCAAATTACAGAGGAGAGAGCATTAACAAGTAGAATCAGGTATTTGTGGTTCTCAAACAGAATTCGTGATAGTCAGCTAAATGTCTACACACTTGTGAAGGGAATCTTGTCATTAGACAACTTGGCGTCCAAACACTTGTCCAATATAAAGGCATAAAAGCCATAAATATATTTTAGTAAAAAGGAAGAAAAGGCCATCATGTGAGTTGTCAGTCTTCTGTCCTCTCATTTAAAAATGTCTGAACGAATACATGAATAGTACCCATAACTGAGTACTGGTAAATATGGTAACATGAACCATACTCGGGACTGTACTGTATCACATTGTAGATATAAGGGGCTAATTTAATTATACGTACATGGGGTGCGCGATAGACTTACCTTCACGTGATGCACCCTGGACAACGTATACTTATACAGCAATAAGGTCTATTAACCGGCAGTTGACTTCTCACTTCAAATTACCATGACCCCATTGTATGTCATATTCCACCACTTCCACAATACTCACCATACCCTACTCTCTGCCTATGTGCCTGTCTGTCTCTTAAATCTGTGAATCCTCATTCTGTCACCCTCTCGGCTTTTTGCAACTTTGATGTTCCTTCTCCTCTCTGTGAAGCCCGAAGCCAACTAAAGGGCTAACGATAACTAATAAAACGCCTGTCATTTTAAATTAGTAAATGACCGTGCAAATGCCAAACAGGAGTGCAGTTAAAGTTTACAATGATTAAATATTGCAAGAATATAAATGTACATAAAATTCGTTAGGTTAGGAATAAGCATAACGATATTTTTTAAACTATACCCTTTAAATAATAATTTCCCAATTTTTTATCGTTGCACATGGTTAAAAATGTCATAATATCACTCCGCTTTAAGCTATCTGAAAATATTTATTTATTTATTTTTCTTTTTCAAATTTCATCATTCAACTTCACGTAGGTGCCCGCTGTTCCCATTGCGTCTTTTGGGAGATCCTTGTAAGTGCCGAAAGAATATTTGCCCTCTTGTGGTCGTTTGGATTCATCAACGGCAATATTCCACTCCTCAGCAATGGCGGGAATATTTCTTAACACGCTGTCGTTACCTTCTAGATTAAAAAATAAACATTTAAACACATTACCTGTGTTTCTTTTACGTTTTAAATCTAAGTAATTTTGTGTCAAATTATAATTACAGATAATGTCATTAACATAACACAAACATTATTATCCATGTCGTTCCAGTAGAAATAATGGCTAATATTAACACTATTATGTTTTTTTAGTTCCTGCTTTTGTCAAAAAGATTTTATGAAAAAAGATGAATTACCGCATATTTCTTCAAATGTATATTTACAATCTCCTCCTACATCTTTTGGGGCTATCTCCTTCAGACCTGGAACTTCTTCGAAAGCTTTTGACATATCGCTTATTACCATAATCTTAAAAAAGGAGAAGGAGAGTTAACAGTACTTGCTTATTTCATGCTAATAATTATAATAAAGTCGATTTACCTTTGACCTGATTTTTTCATTCAGCCATTCAGAGTAGAGTTTAAATAATGCTTCGAAAAATTTGGGCATGTTTTAATAGACCAACTTGTTGATTCGGAATGGAAGACATTCCTACAAGTTGTTTGAAAATAATGTTAAAAATATAGATTTATTTTGACAAGACTTCCTTGAGCCCAGATAGTTACGAAATTTCTGCAAGAAATTAATTTGACTCAAAATCTCAGCTAATATTAAATGTTAGAGTGATAATGCTCTGACAAATTTGTCACTATTCTACGGTTTTAACCTACAGTATTTTAACATACACTGATTCAAATAATTAACTTAATCTTCATAATTCCTACGCTGTCTTTAATTTTGAATACTTCCATAGTGCCTAAACGAATTTTAATAAACTGCGCTTTTTCCTACTTTAAGGGATTCAAAATGCTTGTGCATATTATTTCGTTATCGTGATTACATTGAAGTAAAAAATTGAACCTTGTCTATGTGCAGCTTTTCAAAAGGCGCAAGATAGTTGATAAAATGTCATGAAATGGTCTGCACTAATAGGCTCTTCAAATTCGCATTCGACAGATTTGAGTTTTACACATCCCATGAAAATTTTAGAATCGATTGAAGTTGATCTTAATATTTTTTCACAATCATAAGTACTGCTGTGAGGCAATGTGTGTGTAATTCTATTAAGAATTCTATATGGTCAAAGAATTTTAATAATGATGAAATCGTCGATTGTGCATCCATTCGAAACTGATGACTTTATTACAGTGGGGTTTAATGGAGTAGAGAAAACTATGAAATAAAAATTTGCAATAAATAGTCTACCTGGAAATACTTGGTCATTAATTTGAAATTTTTGGATCAAACATTTGAAACATTGTTTCCTTCTTCATATTCGTCATATCCATAATCATACACAAGCCACCGATTTGAGCTCTTTGATCAACTACACCAAGGTCATCCCAGAGTTGAAAAGCTGCATGCCACTCCTTTAGTGGGAATTCGCTCATATCACAATTCGCTAAATTTTATCAAGTGGTGAATATTTCTCAAATTGGCATTTATAAATCTTGAGTCGTTTTTTATGGCTGGAGTTAAACTTACCCATTCTCATCATCGCTACCACGACTCCATTTGAGGTAATACCAAGGGGTCCCCAGCATCTAGCAAATAGAAAA